TCATTCAAGGGGTGGCTTGGGTACTGCCAGCTACCATTAGTCAGATTTATAGTGTGAATCAGGAGCAAAAAACAGATAGATGAAAATTTCCTGTATTTGAAGGCACAGCTGCTAAAGAGATTAACATCATGGAAAAGAAGTCAGATACTGTGCACCAAGACAATAAGATGTCTGGAGGGAACCTCAGGAATAGGTTAAACCCTTCCCTTCCTAGACTCATAGTTGTAAAAGGGTAAACTCCTTTCAAAATCCTTTGTTTGGGATGAGAGCATCAGGTCACACTGCTGAAGGTCACCTAGAGAACTGTTTCCCCTGGATTTATCTCTTCTTGTTCAGCCACAAGAGACTCATAGGTTGCTATAGTCATGGTTTGAGTGGATCCTGGTACAGCCCACAGTAGCAGTAGAACTTGGTGCCATCTGTGTGGTTATGGTTTTGCAGACATGCAGAGTATAACAACTACAAGGTCATGGGAAATGGGATGGATGGTCAGGAAAAGGGAAGGATTTGAAAGGCCAATATGGTAGGTATAATGCTTCCTCCAAAAATGTCCATGTTCTAATCTCCAAAACCCGTCAATATTTCAGGTTACACAGCAAAGAGGAATTGGGATTGCAAATAGAATTGTTTGCTAGTCAGCTGAGCTTAAGGTAGGGAGACTATACTAGACTGTCCAAGTCAAATCAACTTACTTTCAAAGCTCCTTCTGTACAGAAGAGTAAGCCAGAATACAGCAAAAAAATGATTTCATAACACATGCAGTGTCAGAAAGATGCCTCAATGTTGGATTTAAAAATGGAGAAATGGTACCATGAGTCAAAGAATGTGGGTGATCTCTAGAAGATACAAGAGGCAAAAAAAAAATAGATTTTCTCCTAGAACATTAAAAAAAATGCAGGCTTGTTGTGTGCAGAAGGGATTTTAGCCTAATGAGACTTCTACTGGACTTCTGATCTATAAAACCAAAAGATAGTAAGTATATATGACTTAAGCCAATATGGTTGTGGTAATTTGTTCTAGCAGAAATAGAAAGCAACTAGAAGTGGGATGATAGCTTCAAATGTTTGGGACAATGGACGTTTTAAAGTTTTTATAGTTGTGAGTTTAAGGCTCTGTGGTCTGATGGAAGAAACTTCTTTACAAGTTTACAAAAGTCATTTTTCTACCCAAGACTGTTCATTTGGAATGCTCTGGGAGTGCTTATTCCCCATGTGAACACTTAAATTTTAAACCAAGAATGTATGTTTATTTGAGATGTGGCAAAAATGGAGAGGATAAAGCTTTTCTCCAAGCTGTATCTAAATGTCTCCAATCATTTTATCATCTGCCTAAGTAGAGTTACTCTAAGAGTTACATATGAGTGACACTTCATAGTTTACAAAATATACTCCCATCTGTGTAACACTGGAAGTAGAACTGGGGCAGAAGATGAAAGTCATAAGATTGCAGATTAGAGGTCAACACACATATATAGATACATAACCAAATGAGGGAGCTATTTTTGAAAGGGTATATTACATAATCAAAGGCAGACTGCTACCTAGTTGAGGCAGGAGAAGGAGGGCAAAATGTAAGAAAATTTTAAAAAATAAACTATGGGTTATTCCAATTTTGATAATATATGACTGGAGTTTTTATTTAATGTATAAAAAATCCCAGTGTTGATTTGCAGAGCTCCACCTGTAATATCCCATGAAGAGAAACAAAATATTTTTGCATTCCTAAAATGCAAAAGGAACACTTTTATAGGATTTCAAGAACAGTGCCAGTTAGTTAAATAAAATGAAACTTGCTTGTAGCATTTTAATGTTTCCCCAAAGTGGTGTTTATCTTTAACTTTCACATCTAATGTAAACAGCAGAAGTCAAATGGTAATAAAGTTCCCTTTAACTGAGACTGCCAGAAAACACTTCTCTGCTGCAGTTTATTCACTGGAGCCCAGCATTTCCTCCTTTTAAATTTGGTGTCCTAGTTACTCTTCAGTCTTACTGCAAATTATAAAATGTATAAAATGCAATTTATAGTGTCTATAAATATAAAACAGCATGTGGTCAACCCTGAAGGAATTTGGAAGGCAACACAGAAATGGAAAACGCCAGTCTTTGAATTTAGACAGCCTGACTTTGAATCTTAACTTCGTAGTGGCTGTAACAATAGGCAAATCACATAGCCTTCCTTATTCTCAGTTTTTCCCAACTGGAAAATGGATTTAAAATATGTCACACCTTCTTCCTTCAGAGTACTAGCTTCAAAAGACAGTGTGTACAAAAGTGTGTAAAAATATGCCTGTAAGAAACCACTCATTAGAGTCACTGTCCCATTTGCAGAATATTCTAGTGTAATGCTTCTCAGGACACCAAGGGAGAGATACTATTCCACGCCAACACCACTATAAGCACCATTATCACCAGCTCTGGAAGTTTGCAAATGTGGTTGTTAAGCTTCCATTCTGTGCAAAGAAGGAGGCTATGGTACTCATTTCATCAATTAAGAACTGCCCCATAAGATATTAAATATCATAAATAAAAATGTGTGCAAGAAAATGTGAGGAAACATTTCTCTTCTGAATTGTTAATGAATTTAATCTTGTATGCCCCTTACCTTTTACAAGACTTGCACAGTAAATGAAAGGAGATAGAAGTATTCTAAAAACTATAAAAGCCAAATGAGGTCTAGAAGCAACCAGCTGTCAGGTGGTCACTTATAAATGAGAAAAGAGCAATCACTTCTGCCTTCACAGTTAAGTGAAATATGACTTCTCTTAATTTCTTTATCATTCAATAAAGATGGATATATTCTCTTTGTAAAATAACACGTTTATTTTTTTTTTATTTTTTTTTTATTTTTTTGGTTTTTCTCCGGTACCGGGAACTGAACTCACGACCTTGCGCTTGCCAGGCAAGCACTTTGCCACTGAGCTAAATCCCCAGCCCCTAAATAACACATTTAAACCTTCACACAGAGGATAAATTCTTGGACCATCCTCAACCTTGACCTTCCTCCATCCTCTCGTAAGGATGACCACTCTTAAATTCAGTGTACATCATGTTTACCCCTTTCTCTGCATTTGCATATGTGTATCACAAGAAGCTGTTCCTAGACATCAACCTGGAATGGCTTTGTGAAGTTTCAGAAAAGCATAACTGAGGACTTCACTCTAAAATGTGAAGCCTTCATTCCAAACTGTGATTATATAGACTCAAAAGTTCAGACTGCTGGGTTAAAATACCACAGCTTACTTCAGTAGATGTGTAACCTTGGGAAATTACTTGCCTTCCTTTACTCTCCTTGTCCTCATCTCTAGAAGGAGGACAGCAATACAACATGAGTTGGCAATGACGATTAAATAAGCTCCGTTGTGCAAAGAGGTAGTGCAGTGCCTCGGGGATCATTAGTGCCATCCATACTGGCAGCTGATTCACCCTCACTTTGGCCATGTGGGCAACTCATCCACGCACCTCTTAAAGACCTGAAATATCTGTGGCTGTAGGAAATCTGTTGGCTATAATGAATGTGCTGCACACACTTCTCAACCCCATTAATCTTTTCAGAAAATAGATTTTTATCCCATTAAAATCCTGGTTTTCCACCTGGTTGTTGTGAAAAAATAGCCTAATGTCTGGAACACACTAAATACTCGGTAAATATTGCCTTAAAAATGACTCGATGGAGACATGTAAAATTTCTTAAACTAAATTTGTGTGGAAAGCTGTGATCCTAAGACCCAAGCATAAAGCAAAACAATAATAACAATAACCTTGACCAGCAAGAGGGAGTCAACAGGAGGAGACCTAGCGCACGGACATTCCATGTGGAGTGGAACAAAATGTGAAGGTTCGCAGGAGAAAACCAGCTTGCACTTGGCCACTGCTGACCTGGGACAGGAAACAACCAAAGTGACTGATGGGTAGTAGGGGACCAGGACAGTGAGTGTGGAGTCAGGACAGCAGCAGAGACCAGGGTGCAGACCATAGTGTAGGGTTTGGAGTCCATTCTGAGGGCAACTAGCATTCATTGTAGCTTTCTTGTTTTCAACAAGAGAATTGCATGATCTTTTTTAAGTTTTTAAAATATATACATGAAAAAATAAAGATAAAATTATACACGGGTAGCAGTGGCATGGGGGTGAGTGGGAGTTGGAAATCCAGGTGGGAGTTCTTCACAGCACTCCAGGTGAGAAAAATTGCTGCTTAGCCTCAAGACAGAACTAAATATCGGTGGGGAGAGGTGAGCATATTTCCAGTATATTTTAAAGTTAGAGGAAACTTGCTCATAGGCCGGGGATAATCAGCCAAATGAATAAAGTGAATGAGAAAACTGGGTGGGGAATGGAGACCTGTAACAATATGGGGAAGAGGGAAGGAAGAGCTGGATTTAAAAAAAAAAAAAAAAAGCAGAACAGCACAACACTGAATCTCCTGATACATCCATTGTGAAAAACGGAAGAAGAGGCAGAGTCAAGGGGTAGGAGGAGTATTAGCAGATGTCCTGTCTCAGTGAATGTCTGGTCTTGGGAGTTTGGGATGTAAAGTGTGGAGAAGTGTAAAGCTATGAGTCAAAAGCTCCAGTGCCTTCTAATAAGAACTCAGAGACATGACTATAGATTTGGTGACCGGGAAGTCATTGGTGGCAGATAAGTGGTTGTGCACATCAGAAGCCTTATTGGATTGAAGAGAAAAAGAAAGAAGGGAAGGAAGGAAGGAAGGAAGGAAGGAAGGAAGGAAGGAAGGAAGGAAGAAAGAAGGGAGGGAAGGAAGGAAGGAAGGAAGGAAGGAAGGAAGAAAGAAAGAAAGAAAGAAAGAAAGAAAGAAAGAAAGAAAGAAAGAAAGAAAGAAAGAAAGAAAGAGACAGCAAGTATGAGACACTTTGAAGATGTTTTGCTGTAAAGGGAGTAAGGAAATAGATTGGCTCCCTTGTGAAGTCATGACATTTGTTTCTGATGGAAAATTCTAGAACTTTTTTGGCATGCTGATGACAATGGTCTTACAGTAAGGGAAAAAAGTAGAGGATGCAAGAGAGAGCAGCAAAGGAGATAAATCAAAGCTCTGAGGAAGTAAAATAGACAGAATCCTGAGCACAGGTAATGGTGTTGGCCCATGCAGGAGCAGTGACACACCATGGTGACAGAAGAATTCATGTGGGCATCTGAAGAGACAGGTTGGCAGGCTGGGTGGTGGGAAGATCATGGTGGGCTTGCCTTGCTGTTTTTGTTTTCATGCATTCACAGCCTGATCAGCCAACTGTATATAAGCTGCACAAGAGAAAGTATCTCTCATCTATGTGATTCTCCCATGGCCAACTTACTTTCAGCCAGAATCAGCAAACACCTTTATAAAGAGCACGTGCAGACCTGTTCATAGGTGATGACTTCAGCATGCATCTTTGAAGACTGAGACACTTCATGCCCCAGTTCCCTAGGGAACTTGCTTTAGTGTCCTACTTTCTCTAATTCCCCAACCTCCACATGTGCTGTTTCCTCACTCTAGAATATTCTTCCCCACCTACATTAGGTTGTTCATACAGCACAGCCCCAATCTTAGGAAAAGATGTCCTAAGGCCCCAAGCTGAGTATTGGGGATATGCTTATTTACCACTGGATGTCTTATATTTTATGCCTCTTAATGTGCCCACATTCCAGAGCCTGCCTTGGAGCAGGACCTCTAAGAGTGCTTCAGCCCCAAAAGTGTCTTCAGTCACAGTTCCATCGGCCCAAGTAGTCAAGAGGCTCTCTTCCATGGTCCATTGGTGAGTACATTTGGGCAGAAGAAGTAAGATTTACTTTCCCGAATATCTCAGTATTTACCTAAAGAGGAACAACTGGGATTCTCTTATACCTGCTCTATTAAACTGCAAAATTCTATCTGAGAAGTGCTGTGTAGAGAGCACATTCAGTTTAGTTATAAAGCAGAGGTTATATAATACATAGACAGACTGACTGAACTACAAATCCCAGTGCCAAGGAAGAAGATAGGAAATTTCATGTATCATCTATCCTGGGAGAGTTTCTTACAGTGCAGCACCACCTGGATATCCACACGATAGTAGAAAGGCTTAGTTATTTTTTAAAAGCCAAAAGAAAACATTTTTGTACCTTTCCTATGCATTTAAGATGTATTAAAAATGTTTTTTCACACAAACTTGTTTTCAGAACATATATAGTAACTAATAAGCATTTTATATGTTTACACGTGTGTAGTGCCAGCAGTTGTGTGTGTTCTTGTGAGTATGTGTGTGCTTTAATTTCTATTTTAAGTATATGTCTTGCTCTTGTTAAATATTTATACTTTAAAATACAACCCAAAGACAAAATTGAAAGATCTGGCACCATTGAGAGAAATCACTTTCTTTAATACATACACACTGAAGAAAATATTGTGCTTATTTTTAATCTCAATGACATATTTTAGTAGAAAGATCCATCCTATGGAATGGCTATATCACTGGCTCTGAATGAGTTTAAAAGACTTTGGGAGAGATTTTAATTTTTTCCTGATTAATTTCTAAAGTAGAAGTCATACAGCCTACTAATCTCCATTCCCCAGATCCTCTCCTAGCTCCAATAATCCTTCTCCAAGCATATTTTTAAGTAAAGTAATAAAGCTGAAGAAAATCCAAACAGAAAAAGAAAAAAAATCATGAGACAGTTACATAAACATTTGAATGCAGAGCGATAAACCCCCACACTCTTAACTGCAGATCTGAGGCTCAGGCCACCAGCAGCTGGAACATCCTTATTTAGAATAATGTTTATAAATGACTTTATCTAATTTTGTCATGCATTCACAGCAATCTGTTAGCTTTTAACCAGGTTAGATAGCTTCACAGCTGGAGAGGATCTTCAAATCACCAGAGAACCAAAGAAAGGAGCAAGCCAGAGCACAGTCCTGCATGCCTCCTTTCCCTCTGCTGCTGTTGAGCATATTGCTGGTGGAAGAGCCATGTGGAGGAGAAGCTGCTGAGGCCCAGGGCAGTCTTCTTCAGCAATTCTATAGGGCACCTTGCACAGAACATTTCAGCCACAGGACTCTCTCACCAGCTCTGCCTTCCCTGAGTCTCCACATCACTGTCATAAGTTCCCTGCCAATCATTCCCGAGAGCTTCTGGACAAGGGGCATGTGATCTCCAGTGAAAGAATTTTGGTATTAAACAAAGCAGCAGGGCCATCAATAGAGTACTTCTACTTTGAAAGCAGAACAATAAAGACAACAAACTTTCTTTTCCATGCCACGGACAAATTTCTCCTACTCTGGTTTAACATGTTTAAAATTTCATCCTGTCTTTCTGATGCAACGTTTTCCTTTAGCAACAGATTCCTTGATGCCTCCTCCCAGAAATGCAAACACAGACACTGTGGGATGTTCCGGGTGGGTCGGATGTGCCTAGCAGCTCTCATTCCCTCTCCAGCAAAGCCTCTTCTGAGGATAGAAAAAAGGAGCCAATCTTGGCTGCTTTGATACTTGAGGAAGACACAAGCTGAGCATACAAAAAGCATTAGGAAGCAATTTAAAGATTTACTTATGTCTGAAGAGTGGAAAGTATGGTTTACATTTCATGAAACACGAGGATGTATTTCTTAAATATCCTCTCTGTTCATCTATTTCCCCCAAATCTTCCCAGCAGCTGTTTGACAATCTCTCACCCAGAAATTCACTTTTCCAGATCTGGTTTGCCTGTCCTTCTTAATGTCACTCCTGCATTTTGATATGTCTACTCTGAGTCATGGTCAGGCAGTTGGCTGAATGTCAAAGCAGTTGAAAAGCAGAGGGGCAGGAGCTTTGGATATTCATGCATTAGCAATGCTGTCCATGCTGCAAGCAGATAAGAGACACCCAACTCCCTTGAACCTGTCCTAAATTCTTGTAATTTATTTCTCTCTTCTTCTAGCTTTACCTTTGGAAGTTTCCTTACAGACCTTTGAGTGCAATTCCTCATTTTACTGGATAAAGACTTGAAGCTAAAGGAGCTTGTTGTGCCAGATCTGTGAGCCACTCATCTCTGGCTGAGACTTGGAGACTGGGCTCATGTCTGCTGATCCTGTGCTCATTTCTTTCCTGCTCCAGTAAACTCCACTGCCCTAAAGAAACAGATGGAAGCAAAGCAGGTTTGTGTCAGAATGGACAGCATGGGATTCTGCCATGTATCCAAAAACTTCTATAACTATATTACTAGATAATGAACATCAAATTCAGCATGCAGTCCCTCAGCTACCATAAATTTTTCAGGACAAAACAAAGATTAACTTATTCCTGTACTCCTGTTGTTTTTAAAAGGGATCTCAGCTGGGCACAGGGCTGCACACTCATAATCCCAGCAGTCCAGAGGCTGAGGCAGGAGAATCGCTGTGAGTTTGAGGACATTCTGTGCTACATAGTGAGACCTTGTCTCAAAATGAATGAATGAATAGAAAATAAATACATAAAATAAGATAAAAAATAGGTCTCATTATTGGTTGAAAGAGACACAGTTTTCTAATTAAAATTTTGTAAACCAGAAAAGTCCATTAGCCAAAGTCTATTTTCCCTGAGTATCCTGGTTTATGGAGTGTTTATGAGGTGATTTTCTTCACATTACAGAATCGTGCTTTCTCTTCCACAGCCACTGCCCAAGTTCACAAAGAAGCCATACTCACTGAGTAATACCAGGCCAGTGGTCCCCACCCTGAGTCACTTAGGAGGACATGTCACTCAAGGCAGTTACCAAGTGTCCAGCCAACCACAGGCAGTGTGCAGACCTTGCATGGAGGAGATTGGACCTAACCTTAGTTCCCACTCCACTCTCTCTCTACACACTGCGGCAACACCGAGGAAGCACTGCCTTCAAGGGCGGACATCACGTGTCCTGATCAGAGGAACTATAGTTCCCCACCACTCCCACTGCCCACTTCAGTCCATTTTGACATCTGTCTGTTGCTGGAGTAAGTGGCAATTCTGAAATCAAAGCGTGAACTTTGAACATTCGTTTCAAAAAACCAAAACTACCAAACAAAAGTAATTTCAAAATTATTATTTGTGGAAGAAGAAAAGGATAGGACAGAGTTTGAAAGGGCCAAGAAGTACATGTCAATTACTAAAAACTGATCCTGGAGTGCAAGTGCTAGCTTATGGAGATATTCAAGGTTTCTGGGAGTCTGGCAGCCATTTTGGTCCCACTTCTCAGTGACATAATATGGCCAGTTATGACCACTTGAATCTCAGGCCACACTGGCAGCAAATAGTAGGGCATCCAGACTGCAAATTCAATGGTTCAAGACATGGTAGAGGACTTGGTTAGTACCAGTGAAATAGATCCCTCTGTTTCAGTCAGCAGCAAAGGAGCCAGGGTCATAACCTTCCACTCAGACCATGGAAAGCTCCATTTTCGCTCTCTGTGCTTTTTAGAGCTATAATGAAAATGCTTCACATACAGTTACAGGGAGGCTGTGGCCTCAGGTAAGTGCTATGAAAGCCTTAGCAATTCTTGAACAAAGCTTTCATTCCCAAGCTTGTCAGGAATGTAAAATAAATTCTAGACAATAGGTCAAATCCTAGTGTGTATCTTGCCTTCTCTCTATTCTTTCCCCCTCTATCCTGGTCTCCCTTTGTCCTTCCTCTTCCCTGTCTCATTTTATTCTTTATTTTAATGTGTTTGCTAAAATCATTTCCTACTCCTTCAGTGCTTTGATCTTTTAAGTACTTCTCTCTACTATACAAATTACCCTGCCTGCCCTCCCATATCAACACCCTGGACAAGGGATGCCCTGAAGGTGTATGATGTTATGGTTTGTGTCTAGATGTCCCCTCAAGGCCTCATGCAGTCATGGGATGGGCTTCTAGGTTTTCAACTGATTCATCATCCAGGGGGATTATGGATGTGAGTGCTACACCCGCCCTGGGGCAGGTTATTTGCATACAAAGGGAAGGAAAGAGGCTGCTTGTGTCTGCTCCTCTCTTTTGCTCTTGCTGCTTTTGCTGTTTTGCACTGCTGTGAACGATTGTCCTCTGCCATGTGCCACTCTGCCTTGCAGCCAGCTGAGTATGGACTGAAACCTCCACAGACTGTGAGCCGAATAAACCTTTTCTTCCTTAATTTTGAGTGTTGGGTATTTTACCCTAGCAATGAGAGAACAGCAACCAAGACACATGGCATTACTGCCCTTACAGGAATCTAGTGCAATAGGAGGTCAATGGAGGAAAATTAAAGTCTGTGAAACTTGGTTTGAGTGATCCATCAACAAGATGCCACCAAATCGAACATACACAGATCCCTTGTTACTCAGCTTTCTCTACTGAGTAAGGACAGGCTCAGCCTAATTTGTCTGTCAGAGGTCAACAATAGGCTTCAGGAAGTAGATCTAGTCAGGCCAGCTAACATTTAACTTGTCAGACACAGTAAGGCTAAAAAGGTCCCTTCCATTCTCCTGGGATAATAAGAGTATCTTCCACCCTTGGGAGGCATCAGGTTCTTCTAAGGCAACTCCCATCATCTGAGTCAGCCACCAGCATCTAATGCCATTTTAAGTTCTAAGGATCTGTGAATTGTTCTTCAACTTTTTCATCAAGAGAATACAAATATGGTTCTATGTACAAAGGAGACCCAGTGATTACACGCCAATCCGAGAGTGAGACTTAGAGAGACTCCTTGGAAACCAACAGAGTCTTGTACTTGCTTGACAAGCACTAGGAAGTAAGTTCACAAAGGCATTTGAACAACACAGAAAGAAGTGACTTTGGATATATACTGACTTTTATAGTGCCATAATTCATAAGAACTAAATCCTGGAAGCAGCTTGTATACCCATCAGCAGACAAATGGATAAAGAAAATGTGGTATCCATACATAATGGAATACTACTTGACTATCAAGAAGGGTAAATTCAAGACATTTGTGGAAAAATAGGTATATCTGGAAAAGATAATGCTGAGTAAAATAAATCAGTCACACAAGCTTAAATACCATATGTTATTTTTCACATAAGTAAAGAAAAGTAAAAGCAAAGATAGTAGTACAGGATGGATAGAAGAAACAGGAAAATGGACCACTTGCAAATGCATAGGGGTCCAGAAGAAAAGGAAAGGAAATAATTAAAATTAAGATCTGCTATATACAGGAAGCTAAAAACTCACCAAAGGTAAGTATTACATGTCATCAGCATAAGCTAAGAATTATAAGAAGAAGAAGAATGAAAATGGGGGAGGAGATTTAGAAGCAGAGGAAGGAAGGTGAGTGGGAAGGGGGTTAACAAGCTGTATTTTATACATGCTCCTCCTACTCCCTGAGATGGATACAAACTTCATGTATTAAAAACATGTGCTAAAAAAAGAATATTAATGAAGATGTAGTGACAAAATGATTGCAAATACTAACATAAACAACAGAAAAAGAATTGGGGGAATCAGTGAATGACACAGAGGCCATTCCTCCATGAGAGGCATGTACTGGTTAGCAGATTGGATTTGAAGCCAGTGGTCGAGGGTTTCCATCCTGGGCATCTCCATTTACTGACTGTGTGGTCTCAGGTGACCCTTCCTGCTACACAGCATGGGAGAATAATGGCAATTGTTTCACCAAGACAGTTTAGAGTGTAGACTAAAACACTCGACATAAAAGCACTCATGCAGCATGCTTGGCAGTCACTGTCCCACCTGGGCTTCCTGTCACTGTCCCCTTCATCTAGGACCACGATGTGTCAGCCAGCTTTCTGTCACTATAACAAAATACTTGAAGAAAATCAGTCTGAAAGAGGGGAGGTTTATTTTGGATGCATTTTCTGACATTTAAGTCCACGGTTGACCCCATTGGCTTGGATGTGTGGCGAGGTGGTGTGGCATGACAGTGTGGCTTGGTGGGGAAGGCTTCCCACCTCACAGTAGCCAGGAATCAAAGAGAGAGAAAGAGGAGCTGGTATCCCACTGTCCCCTAAAGACCTCGTGTTTGCTTCAGGCCCCAGCTCCTCATGCGCCCACACCTCCCAGTAGCACACAGGCTGGAAACCAAGTGTTAAACACATAAGCTTGTGGGAGACACGTAAGATGCAAACCGTAACTTACTATGATGTTAAGGAAGACAGTGACCTAGACACATCACACATACAAGAAGGATACGATACAGCTTTCCAACTAAAGAGTATCATAAGCAAGATTCTTTTATTTTATCTTTTTGACTTTTCTCTGTCTTCTCTTCATTCCCCTTCATCTTCCTCCCCCGACATATATGCACTATAAAAATAAAGAAATAGCAAATAGCAAAACAATAGAGGGCCAGACAGATAAACAGTGGCAGAAAGTGCAGGTTCACAAATTCTACTCCAAAAACCTGAATAAAACAAACCATAAAATAGGGTAAGAGCCCAGTGTGGTGGTGCAGGCCTGTAATTCCAACATTTGGGAAGCTGAAGCAGGAGGATCCTAGTGAGTTCAAGGCCAGCCTGAGCTACATAGTGAGACCCTGCCTCAAAAAAAAGTGTAAGAATGTACTGAGGTTTTTCTTATCATGTTCAGCCTCTGTCTCTACTCCCAGCTTTTTCATATCTGCAATGAGCAGACAAATGACAGAGCAGGAGGGGGAGTAAATGCCAAATATGGTTTCTCACCCTCTGTGCTTATTCCTTTGGAAAATATTCAAACACTGCCCTTAAAAACAAAAAAGCAAACCAAGACAAACCTTTACAATTTGGAGGATCAAAAGAAGAGTTGGATCAAACTGTCAACTCTCTAAATAAATAAATGTTTTTAAGTGGGGAAAATGAGACATATGCAAAAATACAAAGACAACAACAATAAAAAACAAAAAAAGAAAGCATATAAATGACAATAAAAAGGCAATTGTAGGAAGAGTTACCCACAGGGGAAAAAATATTTTGACAGCCATGCTTCATATTCTCAAGAAAATTAAAGCAACATATGCCTTCTAATTTAGATAAAAGAAAAAATAGCAAAACAGTTTTAAGTAGAAAGGAGATGGAATTAAACAGAACTGCAACAGTAAAAATCTGATTAAGCACTGCAGGAAAAAAGAAAACCTTTGTACCAGCTTAAGAAATACCTACAATGAAAATATTCATTGTAGCACCCAAAACATGAGCCAAGAGCCCACAGTAAGGACCCAATATTCACATGCTTAGGGTTCTGGAAGAAAAGAACATGTTCACCAATCCACGCACAACATTAAAGCACATAATGAAAGAGAATAGCCATGCTATATTTGAATGTGGCCCCTCCAAAATTCAGATGTTAAAGTAGAATGAACCATGTGGTAGGATTAAGAGGCAAGACCTTTAACAGGTTATTAGGACATGAAGCTATTCCCTGGTAAAAGAGATTAAAGCCTTTTTAAACAGTGGATTCAGGCAACATCAATGACTCCTGTCCCTCCCCGCTCCTCCATGAGAGGACACACCAGTTCTCCCCTCCAGAGGATGAAATAACATGGGGGAATTTGGAAGCGGAGAGTGTCCCTCTCTCAAAGCTAAACTTATGGGCACCCTGATCTCCCACGTTCTATCTCCAGCCCCCAGAACTGTGCGAAATAAATTTCAGGTACTCTGCAGCACAAATGGAAGAATCATTATGCACTGCTCATCACATAAAAATTGAGGCATGCACATTCATTTTGAATAAGTTATTGAATTTCACAAGTGGCTCAACATTTCTTCAAACAAACGTGATAACAAAGAAATATTGGTGCAACTCTACTAAATTCCTTAAAAAGTCCATAATCAAAATTTTTCCCAACCTAGCTTTTATTCTTTGTAATAAAAACAGAGAAATTCTCAAATACTCAATGACTCAAGGAGTATATTTCACATATATTTTTCTTTAAAAGGCCATAAAGACATAATTCTGCTAATCAAGAGAAAAATCCAAATAAATAAATAACAAATGGAAAAC